CCACCTCCCGCTGAGCGCCTTCCCAGGTACCGAGCTGCTCGCCTGCTCCCTGACACCCCTGGGAGCACTCTCCGCTCTGGCTTAGCTCCCACCCCACTCTCGCTGCTGCCAAAAATGCCTGCACAGGTTAACACCCCAGGTGGGATTGCACGAGCGTGCTGTTATCCCACCCATCTGGGTGGTCTGTCCTTGGTGGCTCTTGTTGTGCCATCAGTGCCCTCCTGGCAGGTGCCACTGCTGCCAGCTCACCTCTGCCACCAGAGACAGGCTCCCTGGCTGCTGGCCGTGCACCCACTGGGCTCTCCGGCTCCCTGGTAAGGCTTGAGAGCTTGGTGCTGGTGGTGGCCTTCCCCTCTGGGTGCCAGGCAAAAATGCCTATGGGGCTTTCAGCTGTGGAGACCCTCTTTGGCTGGGGAACAGGATGGAGCGCACTGTCACCAGGGTCTGGTGGGATGGCACAGACCCCGGTTGCTCCTCTGCCCCAGTGGCTGGCAATGGGCAGGAACTGCAGGAGGATTTTGGGGTGGGATCATGGAGGTCTCCAGTCCAAGCCCTGCTCCAAGCCAGGCTAGAGCAGGATGCTCAGGGCCACACTAAGCATCTCCCAGGCTGGACATGCCACCGCCTCTCTGGGCGCCATCCCAGGGCTGTATTGCTCCTGCTGGTCATGCTGGTCCCAGCCTATTCCCAAAACACAGCACCAGTCTGAGAAGGGGGTCAGCAACCCCCTGCCCAGCATGGCTTCCCTCTTTCTTCTAGGGCTGGAGAAGTTTGAGGGCTCATACCTGCACAGCCGGGACTACAAGAGCCCACAGTCCTTTCTGGGGAAACGCGTGGTCGTGGTCGGCGCTGGGAATTCAGGCATTGACATCGCAGTGGAGCTGAGCCACACAGCCAAGCAGGTGTGTGGGGAGAGATGCCAGGATGAGGGTGCTTATTATTCGGATCCCGGAGGGCACCAAGCAACCCCTGGCCACCCCCTGTGGGCTCCTTTCCCTCCAGCACTGCAGTTGGCCATGAGCTGTCCCTTCTCAATGGGGGTGGCTGTTGTGGTCCTGGCAGCTGTGCTGGCACCCCTGACCGAGTAGCATGGCGGGGATGAATGCTGAGGATGCCACCACCTCTCCTCTTCTTCCTCCCAGGTCTTTCTCAGCACCAAGCGTGGGACCTGGGTGATGTACCGGGTGGCGGCTGGGGGGGACCCCTTTGACTTCACCCACATCAACCGCTTCGTGCAGCTCCTCCGCAACCTGCTGCCCCCAAACATCAGCAGCTTTATCCTGGAAAGGAAGCTGAATGCCCGCTTCAACCATGCACTCTATGGCCTCCAGCCCCAGCACCGGTGAGCGCCCTGGCAGCACCCCAGGGACCTGCCCCAGCACTGCCCATCCCACCACATGGGCCCCACATGAGGTCTCTCTGTGCCTTCCAGGGTCTTTGACCAGCACCCAACCATCAACGATGACCTGCCCAACTGCATCATTTCGGGCAGGGTGCTGGTGAAGCCAAACGTCCAGGAGTTCACAGAGACATCTGCCATCTTCGAGGACGGCACCAGGGAAGACATCGATGCAGTGGTCTTTGCCACGGGATACAGCTTCTCCTTCCCCTTCCTTGAGGGCTGTGTGAAGGTGGTGGAGAACCAGATCCCCCTCTACAAATTCATGTTCCCCCCCGACCTGGAGAAGCCAACTCTGGCTTTCATTGGCCTCGTCCAGCCCCTGGGCGCCATCATGCCTGTCTCCGAGCTCCAGTGTCGCTGGGCTACCCGTGTCT